TATAAAATCAGCTTCATTAGCTACTTTAACAACATGATCTTTACTTGTATGTGATAATAAACGTCCTTCATTAACTCATTCAATAAAAGCTAAACCAGCATGTTTCCAAAACCAAAAACAAAATGTATGAAAAAGTTTTTAGACAACAAGATAAATTCTTAGATTTGAATATTTATTATGTGAAGAGAATTTTGCCATTCTTGTGAACATAATAACATAACAAGTTCAACAATAGATGCTGTTTGTTTAAGTGCATGTAAACCATTAAGTAATAATTCTTGCCCATATGAACCAACTAATGTTTTTGTAAGTATATATGAAAATTCTATAAATATATCACGTAAAAATGGTGCTATATTCGATAATGCTCGTTCTAATTTTTCTGTCATATTCATTGATGATTCATTTGAATTAAAATTTGCTTTTGGATAATCGGGAAGTTTTGATTCAGTTAATTCATTTTTATTTATTGTTGTTGAATCACTAGTAGGAATACTAGCAATACTTGCTATAAAAAAAATGTTATGGTTACTTCTCTACATCATATATACCGTATTGAGTAGCTGTAGCACTTGTATTATTTATATCGATTGAATTTTTATTAGTCGATTGTAAATTTATTTTATTAACTTCATTATTATCATCAATAACTATTGATTCATCATTATTCTTCTACAACATACACAATTTTTTAAAATTCCCCTCTCCCCCCAAAATTAATTTAACAAAATTCATACTTGATTATTTGTAATCGATGTTGAATCATTTATACTAACTGTATCTACATTTATCTCACTAGTCGAACCTAATAAAAAAAAACAAAGTTTCTAATAAAGAAATAACAATCTACTTAGGGCAAACCAAAAGTTCATAGAACGATTTTAAAGAACCTTGTCGGATAAGGTAATCTATTTAGAAATGAAAAACCAAATATACCATATTGTAGAGCTTTTTGAGGCACGTCGAATGGCATATAATGAATCCTGTTTTCATAAGACTTTGAAGGAAGTAGAATCAATTTACTGATAGATGACTACACACCCATACCCCCAATGACAAGATGACCGGAGATGCTACATACATATATGAGGTAGTAGTCCGTCAAAAACTCTGCAAAATCGTATGTGAGAAAAAATATTTTACAAATACTTTCGACTAGTCCCAAGGACCACAATATTCAGTAACCTATCATACTTAGGTGAGAGTGTGAGTATGGGTAAGTAGTCGTCTATCAGTAAATTGACTCTACTTCCTTCAAAGTCTTATGAAAACAGAATTTATTATATGCCATTCGACGCGCCTCAAAAAGCTCTACAATATGGTATATTTGGTTTTTCATTTCTAAATAGATTACCTTATCCGACAAGATTCTTTAAAACTGTTCTACGAACTTTTGGTTAGCCCTAAGTAATATATTCATACCATGTCGAATACTAGGTGTTGTACTTATAATTGATGGTTGTCTAGAAAAATTTGTTTGATTTTTTTCAATTATATCTCGATATCTTGATACCATAAGTACTGATGTAAAATAAAAAATTTCAAAAAAACAACAAGTCAACATCGAATAACTCGAAAAAATATGACAAATGGAAGTGATCTTATTTCAAAAATTCATGCAATGATGGAAAAACATAAAGAAGTAAGAATTAATATAAGAGGGAGCACTATAAAAACCTTTTTTTTCCTAATGTTCTTGATACTTTAGTTTTAGCAGTCCCTTCAGAATCTAGAAAGTTGATAGTCTTGCACTGTTTTATTTATCTTCTAATACAGTTTGAAAACTTGTGTTAGAAGTAGACACTAGCAAATTATATTCTATAGGAAAACTGATGTGATATACTCGTTTTATAACAGTATATTTGATCTGTCGGACGAAAAAAAATCAAAAACAATTTTTCTTTTTAAAAATATTTCTAGTCATTTTTTGTTGTTCGTTTACGTAATCCAATGTCAAATCCTGCAACATTAACCGATACAGATCCATTAATACAATGTGATTTAATGGAATCTCGTGATGCATTTTTAAATTTTGCTCGTGAAAAACATTGTGAATTTTCTTCATTATGTCGTGCAAAATATTCAACAATGGTTTCATTAATTGAATTACATTCATCAACAGCCGATAAAATATCTTATACATGTAATTCATGTCGACAATTATGGGATATTCGATATCATTGTACAGTATGTGAAGATTATGATTTATGTCAAGGGGGAAACGGCGGATTCCGGATTCCCAAGATTCCCAGGATTCCCACGGAATTTCCCGGATTCCCGGGATTCACATGGGAATCCGGGGAATCCGGGGAATCCCGTGGGAATCCCGGGAATCCGCCGTTTCCTCCTTGATTTTGAGAGTCTTGTTCTAATTCTCCAAGTTCCGAGTCAACTTCTTCGTCATCATCGTCATCACTAGTATGTTTGGCCTGTTTATTTTTGATGATTACTTTATCTATTGATGACTCTTAGGCACAGGATTCCCTGGATTCCTAGGATTCCCATGGGATTCCCGGGATTCCCAGGATTCCTGTGGGATTCCCTGGATTCCCTTGGGATTCGGAATCCCGGAAATCCGCCGTTTCCCCCTTGGAAATTAGTCTTAGTGGTTTATCCTACTATGTGACTCTATGACAGGTCAATTATATTGTCCGTTTCTATAGTGATTTCTTATTTTATCAATAATATATCAATTTCGAATTCTATTCTCATATTTATAAAGTGAGAATATCAGCAGTATACTTATTTCTTCGTACTGTAAAATATATTATTCAACATGGACCAATATATTTCATGGCTTGAAGAATGTATGAATAAAAATTTCTAAAAATACTTTTTTTTTGTCTTCTAAACAAGAATGTCAGCATCTAATTTAGTTATTCAAGACACATCTGTCATTCTTAAAGAGTTCACAAATAAACAACTAGATATAATTCAACAAAATTAGAATGATCATGGATTAATTTTTGCATTTTAGTTCTCTCGATACTGTTGAATTTTATTCTTTTCAATATTTCAACAAAATTCATACCCTCATAGTGACCTAAATGCACTTCTTGCTAATCAATTTAATACTAATCCAATGCGTATTCTTGTAAGAATCTCATCACTTTCATAGCTAATACTTTTATATCTACTCTCTTTTAATTTTATAACAATCAGTTATGCTTTGATTATTATCATTTAAAAGTTTATGTTGATAATCGCCGACGTCACTATTTTGCATACGTTGCTGCTTAAATGAAAATAATGAACTATTTGTTTAAAACATTTTTTGTGTCATTGTTTTCTTGATCGAATAAAAGTAAATGGAAATATTTCTATAGACACCCTTTAATCTAGTTTTGTCTTATTAATCAATAAATATGGGCTTAACATCATAACTAATACTAAATCTTTCTCGTTGATCAATTAGGAAATTACTATAATTTCAATTGAGTATAATACATATAAACAAAGCAATTCAATGCAGATATTTCTTTCAGTAATAATCAAAACATTGTTTGTACTAAATAAATAGCACAATTATATCTAGAGAACAAGAGTTTGATATTGCATTTGTTTGGTTAGCAGTTTGTGATGGCAGTTAATCAAAGTTGACAAGTTGAAGTACAAGAGTTTAATTGAAATAGCTTTCGAAAAGTATACGAAAGTTTATTAATATATGAAAGTTGAAAGGTATTGTAAAGATAATGCGAGGAACTCGTTCTAAAAAAACAACACCTCTTTTTCTACTTGTTTTGATAATTTTAAAACAAATAAGTATACTAGACTTGATTCTATTGCTCACTATTTATCAAGAATAAATAAAGTAAATGTATATCAACTGTTTACTCCATGATAAATCAAGTAGAACTTAGTACTTATAGGATTAACGAATTTAATTAGAAATAACTGATAGAATAATCTCTCAATATGTCAATAGCTTCACTATAACGTATTGTTATAATGAAATTGTTCTCAAGCATAACTAATTTTTAAACTAAGTGTTTCATAATGAATTATGATATTTTTATTCTCTTCTTCCGTAAAATATTTCATTTCTTTATGAACCATTTCATTAGAGTAGATGGAATAATGGTTCATCTGGCTATATCATTGTTTCCTTTGCTTGGTTACATTATGATTTCTTATGTCATCAACGATATATGAATTTCGAATTCTATTTTCACATTCATCACTTCAAAGCGCATGCTTGAAGATAATTTTTCTAAAAACAAATGTTTCCATTGTGGGTGTATAGGAAGTAGAAATCTGTAGCTACAACCACACCGATACCTACACACCCAGAGACACGTCCACGTCCACTGACACTAGTACCCTAAATTCTTTCGCAAAACCCTAAGAAAAATCCACAGAAGCGAACTCATTCATTTAAGATTGATTTTATTGAAAACAAAAAACGCAAAACTCATCAAGAAACAGCAATTTTCGGTGTCACTGCCATATGAGTATGTGGTACGTATTTTTACTTTTCTCAGTGAATTCTCATTCTATGAGCTTGGAACTTTCGAAGTAAGCGAAGTAACCCAAGATGTATGTGTGGTACAAACATGAGGTCAAAAAACAATAGTAGAGAGAAATAATCCAAAAAAACAATAAAGTGTGTTGTTTATTTTGCTCAGTGGTGTATATAGGATGATAAGAATAGAAAAAAATGCCTAATATTATAACAAGAGAACACGGATCCATGTCGATAAGACACACTACCGACACATGTGTCGACACATGTATCGGTTAGCGTGTCTTGGATAAATAGCGATATAGTATGAATGAAGGAAAGGAAAGGAAAAAACGACCGTCTTTTCTAGAGATGTACGGAGACTGAGACTGAACCGAAACCCTCGGTTCGAGTCGTCTCGGTCAATATCAGCCAAAAAACTGCAAAAATTATAATTTCGACTGAGATAGAATACCATGCTTACCTATGGCAAAGAAAGAATCGAGATTAAGTATAATCGATACTAACGAAGACCAAGACTCTCGGTCGAGATTGAACGAGACTGAGACTGACCGCGAGGGTCGGTCTCGGTACATACCTAGTCTTTTCATCATATATAAATTTGAAACTGCGTGCTTAAGCTCAGAGTAAATTGATTTTCTAATATTAAGTTCAACTATATTTTATATTTTTAGATCTTGCTTTATGACACTTATTATATTCAATTTTTTTCAATCAAGTTATTAGTAAAATTCAGATAATTTTTTTTATATTTTTATATAATTTAATCGTATTTTTTTCTTTTTTTTTATGAATTTACCCAACTTTGCTTCAAAAATATATCTGTTCTACGAAACATGCAACTGTGTGCGAATTCTATTTTTTAGTTAATTTTTATGCATATTCTTTTTATTTTTTTATGTATTTTTTTTCCTTCGTGTAAGTGTTAGCATTTTTTTGTAAAATACAGAATTTTTGATTGAAACAAAAGTACTGTACAGCAGATCCTGCTAAAAAATATTAAATATTAATATTAACTGTTAGTGACGAAAAATAAACCAATAGGATGATCTCAAAAAGCGATACAGACACCTCTGTGACATAACGGTCGTACATGTGTTGATACACCATGCTACACGTTACGTACATGTATCGACATACCATGATACTGTCAAAACGTGAGTAATTTTTTTGTGTCGATACATATGTTGGTAGCGTGTCCTATCCATATGGGGAAAAAACCAACGGATGATGCATTATGATTGGTAGAGAAAGAAAGAAATTGTGATGCATGCATTTATAGATGATTCAAACGAATGATAACCAATCGCATGTTTTTCGGTCCTTTCGGTTTCGTTTTCGGCCATTTATTATTACCCGATGCATGCAAACACATTGGAAAAAGTGTCAACATTACTGTGAGAATCAATCAGTATAAAAATAATCGACAAGATTACTTTCTTTTTTTTTAGATTGATTATAAAATTGGATATACTTCTTGGTACGAATTGTTCTTGTTACTAAACGAATAGATGGCTGATTTGGAATCAGATTTTACCACAGAATTCAAACACATAGTCACGATAGTACGTAATATAAATGATAATTTTTCTTAAAACATAAATATTGTAACGAAAATAAATATCTTTTAATCACGTTTATTGTCTATGTAGGATAATAATGGAGTAGAATATGATGATGAATCCATCGATGATACTTCTTGTAAGTTATTATGCACATATCACTATAATAAAAGAAAAAATATATCTATTCATAATAATATTATTTCAAAGCTCTTGATGAATATGAAAATGAAGTTCAAAGTATTGAACATTTTTATCAACGTTTCAATCAACAATACAATGGTTGTCCAGTATTTTTTATGGGTTCTCTTCAAGAAGCTTGTCAAACAGCATTCAATGCATCAACGATTAAAGATGTTTGTTTAAATCTAGTCGTATTTCAAAATATGAAATTCATTTTATTTCAGCGTCGACCAGTACTCGTCTATATACATCATGATAAGAGTTCGTACAGTGATACATTCTTTTCAAACATATTCTGTTCAGACAGTATTATTGAATGTTTACTTGAAAATTATATTGTCTGGCCATGGGATATCACATATGAATCAAATAGAAATATGTAAGAGCTTGATAATCTTCCGCGACTAAACAAAACTAGAAAATGTTTCGAACGATACACATATATTTATTTATTGATTCTTTTTTTTGTTTAGATTGAAAAAAATCTGGGAAGAAATTTTTTCCGATCAATTTGCCATTATTTTTTCATATCAACGATGTCCTATGCTTATTGGTATCATGCGAAGACCAGCAGGAAAAAAGGGTTGGTTAATATCATCTGAATACAAAGTTGAATCCATACTTGAATGGAATATGTTAACACGTACTCAAGAGAAATTAAATCGTGAAACGTTAAAAAATGAATTGATTATTTTCAAGAAAGAGTTTGATGATAATGAACAAAATCTGGTGAATTTCACTTTAAGAAATAAAGAGAATTCAATGAAAACTTTATTTTGTTTTAGTCATTTAATTTCATTAGAAAGACTGGTTTCTGTTGGGATATTATTCTTTACATAGCTCAATATTTATCCGTTAATGATTTAGTTAACGTATTCACCTCTGACATTCTTCCCTTTTTACATAGATATAAAGTAAGACTACATCTATCTGAACCTTCTGATGAATTTAACAAATTGATTCTTCGAACAATTAATCCTGAACAGATTATTTCCTTATGTTTGAAGACGGTTCGATTTTGGCCAATGATAGATTTATCTTCTCTATCTGTTTTCACTCAAGTTATCTCTATAACTCTTTTCAATCCTCTACGTATCGAACAAATCAATGAATATGAACAATATTTTCCAAAACTATATTATCTTACTCTTCACTATGATGATGAAGTCGATTTGTATTTATTGAATACGAACATCAACAAATTTTCAAAATCAATTAAACGATTGAAAATTCTTTGTAGAAGAGTAATTTGTAGTCATTGTTATCAAAACATACTAGAAATAACAAATACGAATTCTACAATTGAATATTTTGAACTTGATATCGCTCAGTTTTTGTTAGGTTCTATGAATAGTTGTGACAAACACCGAAAGTCATGCCTTCTTCCGACGTTAATTAAACTTATTACAAATATAACAAATATTCGACATATTCGTTTAATTACTAATAAACATGGTCTTAATCAATTACTCTATGAAGATGAATGGAAAAATCTAGTAAATAGTTGTCACAATTTGAAAACATTAACATTTGAGATGACTGAAAATATATTACAAAATAATCAATTATCAGAAAAATTACTGAAGATTCAAAATACAATTCATTATTTCGGAAAAACAATTAAATTTCGATTTATCTGCGTTTAATTTTAATACTATTCCATGATTTTCATTGATACTCATTCATTGTAGAACATACAATAAAACCAACATATATTTTTTTTTGATGATAAGAAAGCAATCAGTTCAAATGATGACTATATGTTTCTCTTGTCGATGCTGGTTTTATAGAATACGCAACAGAATTTCACACATTTCTTTACTTCGCATAGAAAGATAGAAATATTTGATGGTTATATAATATTAAATTTCAATGAAATACAAATAGGTTGAAAGTTTTATCACTTCTAGCGATCGATCCATAAGTATATTTACGTTATTAATAAACACTAAAAGACAATAGTTTCAACTAATATATCACTGAGTGCATTGTGGAAGGTTTATATAGCTTTTTTGAAATCGATTGACATAAATAATCAAAAAAAAGTTATGAGAAATAGGTTCAATCCTCTGAACATATTTGTAAAGTGGATGAAGACTTTTCCAGTCACGTCGCTACAGAAGACAGCGGGTTGACTATTCAATTCAAATATGGAAGAAAATAAAGTCTAATTTTATTCAGAATATTGATTCGACTTTGTATTAGAACTGTTGTTCATAACTACAATGAAGTATGTCTCAAATTTTTGCAATACCTATTTGGTACTAGCTTGCGTGGATTTCTAGATGAAATTTGGATGATAATTTATATAAAAACTTTTGCTTATTTACTCTCTCAATTTGTAAAGTACTCATTCAAGTGTATCATTTATTTTCATATGAGTAAATAAATAGGTCAATCTTTTATTATTATCAAACACCAATGTTGCAGTTCTTCATTATTCCAATGAACATGAAGCATGACACATATCACTGAATGTTAAACACCATTAGAACAGTTGTTTTTATTTCAATCAGCGATTAATAATCAGTAGTATACTTGGCAAGTAGAAACCGTTGTGAAATTGTAATTTCAATTAAAATTAAAATTATGTTTCTCTTTATTTCATTCACATTATCAACATATGTATCATATGCATCATGAGAAAAAAAGAATCAAACTAATGATATTCTTCTTGTTTTTTCGTCGAATCTTGCTGGAAAAAGGAAGAGAAGGTCATTTTGAAAGAATTAAAGAAAAAATAGACAACGTATTTAACGTAATAAAACTGCCGTCATTGTACACATACAAGAAGCAAACGAGTGTCACGTAAAATAACCATAAAATAAATGATGTTGTTGACGTTTGTTACCTTTCATTTGTTGTTGACAACCATGTTTTCAATTACACCTGAGTGAAGTTTGTCCTTGAGAGTGTCAATAAGGAAGAAACCCACCCATACTTGACGTCATAGAAATATTTGGAAAAAAAAACAGTAAAGACCAAATATATAAATAGAGAAGATGAACTCGATCCAAACAGTAATGTATTATTGTATCACACCTAATTATCAATCAAACGCCAAAAATTATATCCAAAATGAGTGAAACAAAATGTAAACAAAATAGCATAACATCGCTAACTACCATGCGACGAAGACGTCGTATGGCTGAGAATTATATAGTCATTTGGGTCGGTGGCAACATTGATCTAGAAAATGAAGATTGTCAAAATACACTCATACAATTGCGTGATATTGCTAATGACATAATAATATGTACGGAAATGACACAATGTATCATATTTCTAAATGATATCGATGACGAAAAAGCTTTCGTGATATCCTCTGGAGCCATAGGTCAGCATCTTATGCCAGACATTCATGACATGCCACAAATAGACGCTATTTACATTTTTTCTGGCAACAAACAAAGATATGAAGCATGGTCGAAGAATTGGACAAAAATTCAAGGTGTTTATACAACCATCACACCTATCTGCGATGCATTGAAAATAGCTATCCAAAAATTCAATCAACATAATATATCCATCAGTATTATTGGTGTAAATGAAGAAAGTTCTAGCGAAAATCTCAATCAACTAGAACCTTCCTTTATGTATTCTCAAATATTCAAAGAAATCCTCCTCAATATGAAATATGGTCAAGAAGCCATTCGAGATTTTGTTATGTTTTGCCAAGAAGAATACCAAGGTAACACCATAGAACTCAAACTTATTGATAAATTTCAACGCACGTATCATCCAACAATGGCAATTTGGTGGTATACATGTGAATGCTTTATATACAAAATGCTTAATCATGCATTACGAACACTTGATGGTGATATTATTATAAGAATGGGATTTTATCTTTGTGATGTACACCGAAAAATTACATCTTTATACAACAATCAGATCAGCCAATATCACAGTAAACTCTTTCTAGTTTATCGAGGCCAAGTACTATCGACAGCAGACTTCAAAAAGCTCACTAAAAACAAAAATGGACTGATTTCTTTCAATAACTTTTTATCCACCAGTAAGAATCGAAATGTCTCGCTCAGATTCGTCATGGATGACTTAGAAGGAACCAATATGGTCGGTATTCTCTTTCAAATGACTATAGATTCCACTGTCTCATCGATTCCCTTTGCCTCCATTCAAGAGGAGAGTTATTACAAGAAAGAAGATGAAATTCTCTTTTCCATGCATACTGTTTTTCGAATTGGTGACATTCGAAAACTTGACAACAATCGTCCACTATATCAAGTTGATCTTAAACTTACGTCAGATGACGACCAACAACTCCGGCAATTAACTGAACGTATACGACAAGAAACTGCAGGTGGAACTGGATGGCATCAATTAGGTGAATTACTACTTAAAATAGGGCAATTCAATAAGGCCGAAGAGTTGTACACAGCACTATTAGAACAAACATCCAATGACAGTGATAGAGCATTTATCTATCATCAACTTGCATATGTCAAAAAGAACCGAGGAGAATATAAAGAAGCAGTGTCATTTTACGAAAAAGATCTGAAAATCATGAACAAAGTTCTGCCTCCGAACCATCTTGATTTGGCAGCTTCCTACAGTAACATCGGTGGAGTGTATCAAGATATGGGTGAGTACTCTAAAGCTCTTGAATTTTACGAGACATCACATAGAATAAAAGAAATGGTTCTACCTTCGAATCATCCCGATTTGGCTGCTTCCTACAACAACATCGGTCTTGCGTATAATCACATGGGTGACTACTGGAAAGCACTTGAGTATTACGAAAAATCACATAAAATCTTCCAACAAGCTCTGCCTTTAAATCATCCCGATTTAGCTACTTCCTATAACAACATTGGTACGACGTATCATAACATGGGTAATTATACAGCAGCTCTGAAGGCTGTTCAAAATGCTCTAAATATCCGGCAAAAAACATTTCAAGAGAATAATGCAGTTTTCGCTTTTACATATGCTTCGTTCGGAAGAATTTATTGCAGTATGAAAGATTACTCAAGGACACTTGATTATTTTGAAAAATGTTTCACAATAGACCAAAAGACATTACCTGAAAGACATCCCAATCGAGCTCTTACATACAGTAATATAGGTGATGTTCATCGATTAATGGGAAATTATCAAAAGGCACTTTTCTTTCATCAAAAAGCATTAAATATACAAGAAAATGTTCAATGTAATCCTTTAGAATGTGCAAAAACATATAAGAATTTAGGTGAAACTTATCGAGAAATGAAGTGTTATTCAACAGCATTGATCTATTATCAAAAAGGATTGAAAATATGTGAAAATAAGCTACCGAAAAATCATCCTGATTTATCTGTAATCTATCATAATTTGGCAACATTATATTTGGCTACTTGTCAATATAATTTAGCAATGAAAAATGTTCTACGAGCGATAGAAATAGCTCAAGACAAATTACCATCAACTCATCCTGATCTTTTAGACTATAAAGAAACATTAGAAAAAATTCGAAATTTGTAAATTTTTTTTTAGTTTACTCAGTCAATTAGTTCTAATTTCCATTCACTCCGCTTTCTGGTTTTTCTCATAGAATGTCTTGAATATCAAGTTGATTCAAAACATGATGAAAAATTTCGATAGGAATTGTTAGAAGAGATGCCCTTGGTGAAACGAGTAAGAATGAACTTTCCATCATTCATATCCAAGAAAAGAGACATGAAACCTTTCAATATTAAGTTTACTTGATCGTACCATTGGTTATTATTTAGCTTATACATGTATCTTTCACTTTGATTATTTCTAGAAAACGAGAGAGTAGAATACATTTTTTATGTCTTACATACTTTTCACACTGTCTTCAAACGAATTAGGCAGTAAAAAAAACAAGCCGAAATCTCGTCTAGGAAAAAAGGTACACATATTATTACAGGATCAATATTGACTATTCGTTTCATTTTGTCTATGTACAATTTTTGATGATAATTCTGTTGCTTCATCGCATATCCTTCGCCAGTGTACAGATTTTCATAGCAATGGATTCCATTTCAAATATTTGTCTTGATTATTTTTGAAAGTCTTCTTTTGATTCGACACAAATAATGATACAAAAATTTCGCATCAGGATTATTAAAACATAGATGAATATTACTAAAGGAACAACTTTGATTTACGCAATGATTTTTTAAGTTACTCAAATATTTGTTTTGTGTGAGTAAATGCTCAGTTTTGTAGAGCTTCCTCATCGAGCAACTACAAAATATACGATTTGAGTGAGAAAATACCTATAGTCAATAACTATGTATTTGTAATAAAAAGAAAATATTCTATACTCTTTACGTTATTACATTGTTTATAGATTGCTTTAGCGTTGCATCATATTGTATATTTGAACGAGAAAGTTTTGAAAGAAAACAGACTCTCTCTCGAAGATGTCTGTTTGAAAAGTTTCAATTGCAAGATAGTCTACTGTTTTTTTTTCTAAAAACTATTGAAGCTACAGGCCAAGTATAAACGAACTCTTGAAGAGGTTCCTTTATAGGAAACTGGAAATGGCGCATCATTATATCAAAGATTTTACAGTCTATCTTGAAAACAGCATGTCTTTCGAGGGCTAATGGAATGCATTGAGTGTATTTTTATGGCTCTTTTTTATCACTTTCAACTATTCTGAATGTGAGTTTTTTTGTTCTAAATTAATTAATAATTGATAATAATACAAAGCTATACAAGAAATACATAAAACAACAAAAACTTTTCAGAATGTTTGCTTGCACGACCAAACTTTTTCATGTCTTCGTTCACAGGAGCTGTGAGCCGAACTGCAACATATTATTCTATTTTCATCAAATATTCTTATCTTTTCATTCTTTTTTTTTTGTTTTCTTTCTGTCGAAGAAGAATTAGATACATGTGTCTTCAACCAAATGTTATTCTGTTGTATTGCACAATCTCAATTTTTATAGTGAAATAATAGAACCTACACAGATTTGCATTCAGAAAAAAACAATATAAACAGACATATTTTTACGTTTATTCTTAAAATAAATCAGAACTTGCATCAGCTTTCACTCATTTAATCTGTATTTTTAACACATTCTCGATGTCCTCTCGCCGATTAATACTTGAAGATCTTTCCGACGAAATTCAACTTATGATTTTGAAATATCTATCTGTTTACGATTGGTATTATTCATTCTTTCTTCTTAATTATCGCTATAATCATCTTATTAAACATATCACACCTGCTAATATCAATATAAAATGTTTAGATCATGATATTGATCGATTCGGTATACTCATTTCAGACTATTGGGTTTGGAATGATAGATTTCTATATTTTATGATACCAAGACTTCAAGCTATTCAATCGAATATTATTCAATGGGTATTCTTAGCACCGGATTCTTTTGAGCCATACGAAAAACAACTCAATCGACGTGTTGTTGATATTATTAAGAAATACAAAGTTCAATCCAATGCTCCTGGTTTTCTTGTTAGTAACGTAAATTACTATTTCTGTTCGATATCTGACGATTTATCTCATCTTGAAGAATGGATTAGAGAAAACTATCCAGAACAATATGAAGTTATACAAAATTTTGGGCCTCGTCAACACTTACCAAAACGAATAAATCATTATGATGGAAAATATTTAGAGATAAAACAAGCTCTAGCAGAAGTACAACGTCTAGAAAGATTGAAGCGAAAGAATATAATCTATGAATGTGCACAACACATATGGACTGAATTAAGAAGATTAGACGATGTGAATTTATTGAGTTTAGTTGTTGAAGAGTAAATTTGATCTGTCGAGTCATGTTTCATTTTTATTTGTAGTCTGTAACTCGATTTTCTTTTATTTTTTTTTCTTGAAATTAAATTTTTTGTTTTCATTTCATATTCTCGAATTCGAATTGATGAAAGGTTTAACTTTCTCTTGAAAACAACCTGAATTGTGAATGTGGGCAAGGTTGGATGTCGGACTCGAGAACATCTATACTGGCATCCTTACACGAAACTAGTCTAGTTAAAACATATTAAAATTTGATAGCTTAGTAAAATATTCATAGCAACTAACATCTTTATTGGATTTTTTTTTGAACATTACGTACTATCTATGGGCATAAAAATTAGTGAAATCGGCGAGAAGGAGCTAAGGAGATTTTGTCGTTTGTCAATTATTGTTGAGGTAAACACACAAGTGAATCCAAGAAAACGAAGAAAAGATCATTGAGAAACTTATCATATTAATGTATTGATTATGGACTAAGACCAAATGATATCCGGTTTTATGTGATATTTAAAAAAACGAATTACAAGAGTGTCTTTCATTAAAGTCAAGACTAAAAGATTCGTCAAATTTCTACATATATTTCTTATTATTTGAAAAGAATTGATATATATAATTATATTTTACTAGTGTACTAATTTTTCTTATTTAATTTTATTATAATGCTTCACATTTACATAATGTTCGCTAGTGTTTGCAATAAACAGATATAGAAAGATTTTGTCCGTAAGAAATAGAAATAACACTGATGAAACAGTCAAATGAATGAATAATCTATTATGGTATGTTTTTCAATAAAAAAATGTCAATATTAATTTCTTTGATGATCAATTATCAGTTGATCATTTGTTACTTGGTGAAAAGATACACATAGACTTTGTATCTCGATTAGATGTTATTTATTGTTACACTTATTCGTTAACAAGATTTAATGCATGACTAAATGTTCGTATTCAGGTCATCAACTTCTTAAATAAACTAAGAAAACGAAGTCAATTAGTATCATACGATGCGAGAAAATTTTTTCTATTAACAACTGACTGATTTCTTAAAAGGAGAAAAAAAAATTGGGTACTGAGGCTATTCGGTCGAGTACAGAGAGAAAGAAGAAGAAGGAAAAAAAAAAGAAAGAACGAAACCATTTGTCTTATTGATTGAAGTTGAGTTATATGCCGTGCAATTAACAAATAATTTTCTCTTTCATTTCATTCTCATATTCATTTATTCATTGACACAATGTTGTTCGTTATATTCTTCTTCAGTGTCTGTTGTTCATTAAATAAAGCCTATGATTTTTTTCCATCAACAATTAATCGTTGTCAACCAATTCCATCAAATTTTACATTATGTTATGGTCTTGGTTATACACAAATGTATTTACCAAATTTACTTAATCATGAAAGTATAATTGAAATATTATATGAATTACCATTATGGGAATCACTTCTAAATTTGGGATGTCATTCAAATGCTCGATTATTACTTTGTTCAATTTTAGCACCTGTTTGTCTTCAACAAACACCTGAAAAATCAACACTTGTTTCATTTGATAATAATCAAGATTCAATGTTTTCAATGACATATGATAATAAAAAATTTTTATATCCATGTCGTACACTTTGTGAATCAGTTAAACAAAGTTGTGAACCAAAAATGATAAATAAATTTGGTTATAAATGGCCAAATATGAGTAAGAATTTCATATAGAACAGAAAAACAATGATCTATAATATATTCATTAATTATATTTTAGTTGCTTGTGAGCAGTATCCAGAAGAAACAGATCTATGTGTTTCACATTCGTCATCATCAACAACTAGTACATTACCATCAACAATAACAACAACTACAACAAAAATGAATTTATGTTCGATGTGTCAATCACGAACAAGTGTAAGTGATTTACTTAATGATTATTGTCGTTCATCAATTGTTGTTCGTACACGTCCGATTAAAATATCATCAACATCAGAAAATAATTTTATATTTGCAAATAAACATAGAGTTCGATATTTTAAAAGATTAGATAATAAACAAATAATATTTGATTTTCCAATTAAAAATTGTTCATGTATTAAATTACAGTCACCAATTATTTTATTTCTTTCATCAAATGGTGAAATTATTCGATTTATATCAATTAAACGAAATCCACGTATTTTTAAAAGATTTCGAAATACAATCGTTCTACGAAAACCGCGTTGTCAACGTCAATTGTAAATGTCATTTAACTTTTTTTTTTTCGTTTTTTTTTTCTATGCAATATTTAGGTAATAGATATCATTGTAAACATCATCAGTTTTTTGTTTAATAAATTTCACAGGCAGAATTCAAGCAATTAATATAACTATAGGGTTTTATTTATGATTCTATATTTGATAAACAATATTCTCATTAAAAATAAGTAAGAGGACTAAAGAATTATAAAGTCTCTTTATCAAATAAATCTAGATAATGCTTGATATTGTATGATGATTCTCGTATTTTTAAACATGTGAAGCGATAAATTGGATTGCTTCTAGCTAACAATTGAATTATAACCAGTGAAAAAAGATTCGATTTATATTATGATGTTTCGCTGTGATATTTTTGCTATCGGAACTCGTTGTTATATCATTTTGTAAAATTCTTCGTTCACAGAAGCGTTTATTTTTATTAGTGATGATAAATGTTGTTTTTCATAACAAAAAAAAAAAAAAATAAATAAATCTGTTGTCGCTTTGAAACGCTAACTAAACTTTTTTTTTTATCATTGCCATTTGACAATCAGTTACACTGGTGATTCCAAAATTTTTGCAAACAATCAAATAATAAACTAGACACAAAAAGTCTCACTACCAAGGACTAATCAAAACTTAGTCACTCTTCATGTGAAAGAACTAGAAGGTTAACATAGACTTTTTCCTAAGATAAGAATATTTCAACATAGAAACACAAGTCTGATGTCATTAGATTCGTCATTCAATAGTTCAGCACGGCTTCGATCAGCAATAAAAAATTGCATATCAAATCATTTTAGTTTGTCTAATCTATGGAGTAATCTTCACATGAGAGTTGATAAGAATCGTCGAAAAGTGTCTTTTTATCTTCAACTAGTTTCAACCATTATCCTTGAAATTTTCTCTAGTGAATGCCTTGCTATAATGAAGTTATCTTCATTGATAATAAGAAAATGGAGGTTACCGCATTTATATAGTAGAAAACTAGAAAAGTGTCAAAATTCTTGCTTGGATCTTAGGGAAAAACTACTGTATTTATTGTAAACCCTTTGAATTAAGGCCTATTGACTTCAAATTGCTGCTTACGACCCGAATTCATGGAGATCTATTTGTAGTCAAAATATCAGACAGAAGGATTGAAGTTTATGTACTTTTCACTTGGTAACGATTTTGCTAATCCTGATGTTGTTTAATATGTTGTGCTGATCCTGGTTCTGCTCTCAGTAGTTCAATCATCTTTCTCAAAATCAGCACAATTTTTTTGTAATCTGTATAATTCTTTAAATGTACATGAAATCTAATAAATGTTTTTGACTTTTTATCCAGTATCAGTTCGAATGTATGAAAATTCACAGTCTGTCAGATTGAGACTGATATGTTCAGAAGAAGCTCTGGAACAATTTAAACGGAAATTTTCGAATTTATTTTTCTATTTCGAACAAATATTGAAGCTTGTCTTCAATTATTGAGAACTTCAGCAATAACACTGCTGAGCTCGTAGCAGAAATAGTAAAATCATGACCAATATGTAAACTATGGAATGGTGAAACTGCTATTAAATGAATCTTATGCATATTGTATTGTATGAATGCAAAAGCCTATAGAAATGATAGAAAAAATCCAATCCTTGGCAATTAAGCCGGAATTTTTAATAAAATAGTCGATTTCTAGATCTTTCATCAGTGCAGAATGATAATTATGAGAATTTGTAGTCTGATTCTTGATGAAAAGCTTTTATCAAGTCAGTTTGAAAAAAATATAGATTCCAGTCTCGAAGGAATGATATAGTAAATTTATATCTTTAAAATACGATACAAGGATTCCTGTTGTGATATGATTTCATTCCAAAGAATATCCTTTATAACAATGAATTTAATTTCAATACCATATTCTAATAAAAGTTGAATAAATGTAGTGATAATTAGACATCAAGCTTTGGCGAAAGCTGTAAAAAAAAACTTTTTGTCTGAAATAATTTACGTTTAAAATAACCATCAATTTCTATATTTTTATTCCATATCCGTTTTTTTCCGCGCACGTAATATAGTTTCAGGAACATCATCTCATGAAGGAAGCACATATTTGAAAGAAGAGAGATAGATACTGAAATATAACAATGAACAAGCTGAACAAACAGCAGAAAGATAAACACAAATGTTTAGAGTGACTATTATACAGCTAAGGATGATTTTCTTGACAATGAGAAAAGATAGACCACTAAAAGAGATTTGAAACCTTCGGTAGGATCATATTATAGTTAGAAAGAGATATAGAATGTCTCTTGGAAGGAATATTCGGCCTGAACAGCATGAATGTATCACTTTTTTTAAATATATATGAGGAAATTTTTATAAGTTTATTTATTCATTTCACGTAACAATAAGTCCTAATTGTATAAATTATTTGCAATTTTTTAACACTTCTGCACTTATCATTTCATTATAACACCATTCTGTGAGCTTAACCAAGTATTTCGAAATCAATTGAATGAAGAACAAAAGGATCATTATCCCTTATGTATAGTTTGATAGAATATTTCATGTCGTTATGAGTGAGTATTCTTTCCAAGGAACATTTTCTTCATGATATCGCAATGAGCAAATAGGTCGTTTAAAAAATTACCGAACGGTTTCATTAGATAGTTTGGTGCTGTGCTAAGAGAAATTACTCAAAAAAATATGAGTAAAAAATAAATTTGACAAAATTATAGATTTGGAAAACTCTGTTGTATTGCGGTTTGTCAGTTATATAAGAGAAATTTGATTTGCTGATGCAATTGTTAGTATTCACTGAAGCAAGAACTTTTTGTTAGTCGATAAAAATCTTGCTTCTGGGTTGATTTTGTACAAAAAAAAATAGATTCATTGTGAAATAAAATTTTTTTAAATATTTGTTAAGGTTGTTTTTCTGTTGTTAAAGACGATCATGTTGATGACGTATGTTGAATAAAACAAAGCTCTTCAGACATGACAAGAATACTAAAACATTGCTCAAATTACAGACTAGAGTTGTTTTTCAGTCAACTTCTTGTGTAGGTGGTATTTTTTTCACAACTTCCAAAAAAATTTCATTGTTCTTCATAGGTAGCTTGCAAAAAACTTTATTAAATTCAGTGCTTTTTTTTATATAAAAAAGAAGTAATAATTTCTACGGAGTGTTTTTTTTTTTCTTTGATCTTTCAACTGATAAAAATTAAATGATTGCTAATTATTCTAAAATGTCATACACTGTCTCTTTCTATGATCAAACCAACAGTATAGATGTTTTTGCTTTCTAAAATGAACATCTTTTAGTCATTTTCAAGAAAAAAAAAAAGAACAATTCGTTAAACTCCTGCATTTTAACTGGTTGTAACTTTACCCATTCAATTTATGTAGTTTTTCTTTTCTGTTTTTTTTTTTTTATTTCTTGGCAACAAAACAATATTGTTTGGGTTACTTCTTTACCTATTTCATCACTGCAAAGAACGAAAGAAAACAATGAGTCATAAAAACAAACTTGATGAAAAGAAACGACATTTCGGAAGAAGAATTTTTTTTTCATGCAAATAAACAAATTTTATTTTTGATTTTTAATTAAATGTTGACATGTCAGTCAGAGATTTCTAGTTTAAAGAAGAATGAAGCATTGCATTGGAAGCACGCAACGTTTTTTTATTTATTTTCGATTGATTGTATATTCTTATTATGTTTGATGAATAAAATTAGTTATTCACTCTACTCATCGTTTTGTTATTATACTAGATTTGCTGAAGTATTTCTAGGAAGTCCGATATAATAGTTTATGCAACAAAAGATTTAAAATTGGTTGACTAACGATAATTTAAAAATCAGAACATTAACAATACCATGGGTTGTGGACGTAAGAATTTATATAATATTTTACTAACTACTATTGATTTAAGTTTAACCAAAGAAAACTTAATTATTATTAATCACTGAATAGTGTTTTGTCTCATTTTAGAATCTCGAGTTGAATCGTTAATTAATCCTGAGTATAACTTTAGAGGAGGTAAGTTATCAACATTGTTCTTTTTTATCGTATAAAACACGTTGCTTGATAGCAAAAAATGTGACAATTTCGACTTCAATTTTCTGATAGAATTTTCACTCTTCGAAATAAATTTTAAGAAATATAAAATATTAAACCAGGAGTTGGACAATTGCTGGCTCGGACACTTGCGCCTGGATATGGATGTGAAGGAAGTGACTACAGGGAGTATGCGAGTGTGACAGAATAGCTGTGGGTGTGTTTGCTTGTTTGAGGCTTCTCTTCGTCCACACTGATACAGGTATCCATACATATAAAGTGTCTGCCATAATAATTAATGGTAAATTATTAATGATATTTTTCATATCTCTTATTGACATCTAGAACTGAAATTTTTATCACATATATTCAATGAGAATCTTTCATTTTCGAAAGTTCCACCTCTCTAGCTATAACTAGTAGTGAAATATATTGATAAGATTGCAATAGAAATCAAAATAAAATGCTAAAAAAACGAGAACGAAAATTTCAGTATTTCAATCTTGCCAATATATTACAGCACTAGGTATAGCTAGAGAGGTGAGAATTTCGAAAATAAAAGATTCTCATTGAATATATATGTAACAAAAATACCAGCTCTATACGTACAGAAAAAGTATGAAAAATATCATTAACAATTTATCATCAATTATTATGATATGCTCTTTATTAGAAAGCGTCTTGAGGAGCAACTGTTTTTGGCCTAGAGAAAAGCGAGAGTTCAGTACTCTGGCGTCCGTATAAGACACAAATAAAGTACGGTGAAGTACGAATGGAGTACAGGGAAGTGCGAATGAAATACGGTTACTTCACTTGTACTTCGGAATACTAAAGTCTTGCTTTTTTTCTCCTTGTTATAGACCCATCGTAATCAATAGAATTTTTCCTACTTGTGATGAAAATATGTTTTTCTAGTTTTACAGAATATGAATAAAATTTTAATATTTGGATTTAGATGCACATCATTGGCTCAATCCTAGCTTCCACAACAACAATGAACAAACTATTCGAAGACCCCATGAACTTGAATCCTCTTTAGATTATCCTCCTCAATCTGTTGACGAAAAGTTACTAAGACGTATTTTAGGTTCTCTGATCGGCTTAGCTTTAGGTGACGCTCTTGGTGCTCATGTAGAATTTAGACCTCATCAATACATGGTTGAACATCCCGTTAAGGACCTTCAAGGGGGAGGTACATGGGGTCTTCAGAAAGGGCAGGTAGAGTATTTATGAAAACGGAAGTGAAAAGAGGATTGAAAAAAACACTTGATATATTTATGATCTAGTTCACTGACGACACTTCTATGGCTCTATGTTTAGCTATTTCATTAATCATTAACGGCGATTTTAATCCATATGATCAATTACTTCGTTACAAATGGTGGTATAAAGATGGATATATGTCATCAACAGGACAATGTTTTGATATAGGATCATCAACTAGACAAGCTTTAAATGAATTTGAACATCGTCAGCGTCAGTTAGCCCAGAAATATGATATGCCTTTGAAAAATTTAGATTTTTGTACTGACAAGCAAGTTTTGAAAGAGTTGGATGTGTATTGTGGGAAAAATGAAGCAGCTGGCAATGGAGCTCTTATGCGTCTTGCACCAGTACCACTCTTTTTCTATCGAATCCCGAAAAAAGCTGTGGAATACTCAGGTCGAAGTGCCAAAACAACTCACGGCGATCAAAAAGTCTACGATGCATGCCGTTTTTATGGTGCTCTGATCGTAGCTGCTATTAACGGTGAGTCAAAAGAGAATTTATTAGATCGTGATTTCTACAAAAACCATAAAAAATGGTTTGGTACTGAACCACTTCATAATGATGTGATAGAAATAGCTGAGGGATCCTACAAGAAAGAAAAAGGTTATGCCGATGGAATTCGAGGAAAACGTTATGTACTTGATAGTTTAAAAGCTGCTTTGTGGGCTTTTTGGTCAGATGGCAATTCATTTCAGACTGGTGTTTTGGCTGCCGTGAATCTTGGTGATGATGCTGATACAACAGCCGCTATTTACGGACAATTAGCCGGTGCGCATTATGGTTATCAAGCATTACCCCCTGACTGGGTCAAACATGTCTATGCGGAGAAGTTTCTTAAATGTTTGAGTGAATGGATTACTTATCAGGGTAAAATATGGTTCGAAAACCAAGAATCAACTTCAATTTCTTCTAATCCAAAATCAAAATTGTAATGAAATGATACTAATAAAAAAA